GGCAGGAGAAGGAGAAACCCCCATCACCACCACCACCACCACCTCCCCTCTGCTGGAAGCCTGGAAGAGTTGGCTCCTCTCGGTCAATAAAACGTTTGCTCTGCAGGTTCAACACCCTGCAGGAGATGGACGGGAGGTGCGGGACGCTGAAAGACAAGATATTGGAGGACAACACCTGTGAGGATGAACACAAGTGGGTTTGCCAGAAAGACCCTTTCCAGCTCTCCCCGTTGATGACGGGAGACGGAGAGAACTGCGACGCCTCCGCCTGACTCAGGCCCAGCCCACGGCGCCCAGCCCGCGAGGCGCTTGCTGCCAATGTTTGGGGTGAAATCGGCCCCGTCTTCACCGTCAAGGCTCCACGAGAGGTTTCAGGGGTCGCAAACGCGTTTCCCACACAGGTCAAGACAGTTTTTGCTGCTTCCCCCGAACCGCCTGCGCCCCAGGCGCTGTGTCAGTGCAGCATCAATAAAAGCCTGTAAAACCCGCTCGCTTCCGTCTGTTGACGTAACACAGATGTGTAAATAAGGGGATTTTTCATAGTTTGCTTGCATGGGTTTTTTTTTTGTTGTTGTTGTTGTTTGTTTGTTTTGGTTTATTTTATTTTTTAATCCACCATTTTACCAAATTCCCTCGCCACCCTATTCCCAAGCCTTTCCAACAGCAAGAAAATGCCCTCACTGCCGGTTCAGTCACTCAACCAAGTACGTCCTGGCCCTGCCTGACCTAACAGGCAAAACACGCCTTCGAAACGCGGGTAGAAAACGCTCGACAAGCTTTTTGCGATGCGGTGGTACAGCAGCCGGTGACAGTGCAGCTTACCTAGGCAGAAAGTGTCGTAAAGGTGCAAACTCCTAAATGCTGGTGGCAGAGCGAGATGTAGGGCTTTGCCAAGGAAAACCTCCCGGTTCTCCGTCATCTGTTTGTTGGACAACGGTGAAGAAGCTTCCGTTGGCGGGGTCTTTTTCTTACGGGGTCTGTTGTTGCGGGTACGTTTTCTGCTTCCAGAGGACGTAGTCGTCGGGTCTGCTGCAGAGCCAGTTCTTCTTGGTGTGGCACAGGGACGAGCTGATCCTCTCCTGGTTCAGGTAGGCACAGGGCCCACCACCCCGCACCTCAAACCTGCAATGCCAACGCGCTCAGGAGGGTGAGAGAAGGAGGAGGGGAGGAAAGCTACCCTCAAAAAATTAAGAAAAGTTGGGATTTCCTCTCTAGGAGAGAAGGGGTGGCGCTCGGCTGAGGGTATCTAATAGCAGATGGGTGTGCAGCGTCCTTGGTCCATCCCAAACCTCCCGTGGAGAGCCAGGAGCTGCTTGGGCACGGTGGCAGGAGAAGGTCCCCATCCCAGGACGAACCTTCTAAGAAATCCCATCCAAGCCAGGGGGGAAGCAATGCAACAGCCCCCCCACCCCGCCCCCGGGGCCATTTCCAACCCCACCAAGAGGCAAAAGCCGCCCCAGCTGCCAACTCCAAGCACCCAACACGGACAAGAAGGACCAACCGGTGGTTGAAGGCTGTGCCGTTGGTCCACCGCCAGCGATTGTCCTCCTCCTTGCGCAGCCCAAACCAATGGTTGGCTTCGCCTTTATAGCGCTTAATGAAGGTCTTGGAAGCAAAGAAATGGGGAGGGTTTATCTGGTCTTGCCTTCCCCACCTCCTCTTCCCCACCTGCATCCACCACCCCAGGGTGGTGCTTTCCCCAAGGCGTCTGCCCCCAGCTACAGTATTGGGTGCAATTTGGGGCCAAAAAGGGGTTTGGTCTGGGTTTTTTCTGCTCTTTTTGCTTTTTTTCCCACCTCTCTTTTTTTTTCTTGTTTTTTTTTGTGGGTTGTTTTTTTTTTTTCATATTTCCCACCCCGGTGCTAGCCCAGTTCTCACCAGCTCGTCCGTTGAGTCTATGAAGGCCAGCGAAGCTCCCAGGTCTTTGCAGCTTTCCTGACTGCTGGTCCAATTGCTCTCAGTCACAGAAAAATAATAGCATTTCCCTTGGAAACCAAGCCAAGTGTCTGGGCAGACGCGGGAGAAGTCCGGGTGAGGCAAACTGGATCGCAGATGGACAACTGGAAAAGAGAAAGCTGCGTGAGATGCCCTAAAAAGCAGGAAAATGGGATTTGTTGGGTGTTGTTTTTTTCCCTAGAAGCTGCAGGGAGGGAAATGAGGAGTGATGCCCTTGGGAAAGGGAATGGTGTGACTGAGCGAGGAGCCAGGATGCTTGGACCAGGCTTGAGGGAAAAAAGGGGGTTTTTTTTTGCCCCTGAAGGTGGCTTGGTGCTTCGCTTGGGCAGCATCCCTTGATACTGGGAAAAGCCTGTGATCCCTCCACTTCCCCAAAACAGGGGTGCCTGGCCCAGATCCTCCCCATCGGGGATGCCTGGAGGGGACTCACCAGCCAAGGCCGCCAGCAGGATGAAGATGAGGAGCACCAGGACCACGCACACGGGGACGAAAACGCGCAACAAGCGCGATCTTTCCCACTCTGACCTCTCGGTGATGGACCCTGGGGGAGGAAAAAGCAGGAGAGGGCGTGGGATGGGTCGTTTCCCGCCTCCTTTGCCCTTTTTGATGCTGGATCCTCAGTCCATCGCAAGCCCTGGCCGGGACAGGGACCTTTTTTGGGGCTTGGGAGGGTGGGGAGAGCTTGCAGAGGGTCAAGGTGCTGCCCGCAAGGCCGGGAGAGGAGATGTGTCCCCTTCGTAGGCACTGATGTCTGTTTGGGGACCTGGATTTAGGCTTTCCAGCCTTTAGAGGTGGCCTACATTTAGGGTAGATGTGCCTGGGTTGATCTGCACCCACCCGAAAAAAATGCCATCGCCTTCCCACTGCTGCCCCGCC